ATAGCGTGAAGACACTGCCTCCACTGGCTCGCACATTCTGCTGCCATCTCTTCCTCGAGTAACAAAGCACTCCACATGATGAACAAGACAACATGATTCCTCAGACCGGACCACCTTCTTCCATTGCTCCATGGTCCAGTTCTCATTATAGGAGCTTTAAGAGCTCAGCATGGACACTTTGACTGATCTGCAGCTACACAGCTCAGTACAAAGGAAGCTGTGATGCACTGTTCTGAAACATTTCTATCATACAGTAGCTCTTCTGTGAGATCAGACTTCAAAGATCAGCCTTTGGTCCTCACATGCATCAATGAGCTTTGGGCATCCATGATCCTTTCTCTGGTTCACCAAGCTGTCCACACCAGGAAAACTACACAACATCTGCCATCTTAAAGATTCTCCCACCCATTTATCAACTTAACGAAGTGACTGCTCACTTGAGCCAATGTAAGAAGATGATCAATGTTATTGTCTTGTCTGTGGTTTTAATGTTATGGCTGATTGGAGTACAGCAGTAGCACCAAACCAATTCAGGCAAAGTATTCTTCATGTTGAAAAAAGGCGGGTCGGCACTGGCAGCATTTAAACTATGTCAAATCTATATTCAATAGATATCTGCGACCACTCTCTTAGAGAAGCCGTTCAAATCATGTAAATCGTGTTTACTGTGACCTTGTGAACTACACCTGTCACGACTGTTCTGCTCAATGACTGAGTGAGGGACCAACAAAATTATGTGAAACTAATTATTTTTATGCAAATACAGTACTTGTGCAACAGTTGCCAAAGTCAGAAATATCATTGCTGCCATCGGTGTAGTTATTTCTGTTCACACTGACAATAAAAAAAGATCTTTCTTTGTTGGTAAATCTGACGAAATCCATTTCAGAGTGATCTGTAGTGGAGCAAATGTAGAACAGTGCAAAGAAACGCCAGGAGAGTTGAGTCAGGCTGGCTGCAGGCTGACCAAAGACCTGCCGTCCTCTCAGCTGGCACAACTGATCTGGTTAAGCCTGACTGTCTCGAAGCAGCTTCATATTGGGCTGCACACTCAGGACAGAGCGGCACTGGAAGACATTAACAAAGACACGGTCTACACTTCTACTTTGCTGCCGAGAGACCAAACCTACGACCCTAATGCGTAAGCCAGCTACTTCTGCTACTGAGGAGCTCGTTCTTCCATTCATAAACAGTAAGATGAGCATAACAGGGAAACATGTTGGTATCCATTTTGTTGTTTGTGGCCTCGTGAGTGTTCTCTCTACCAATTAACCTTCTGAACTCCAAGCAGTTTCTGGACGGTCTTTGCTACGATCAACTCACGATGGGTTCATTTTTCACAGCAAAGTTCTGCACCTCTATGGAAACACCATGGCTGAGTGGAGAGAACTCATATCATACATATCTTCTGTGCAATGGTCATAAAATAGAAAAACATCCATCCATGCATTATCTATACACCGCTTAATCCTCACGAGGGTCGCGGAGGGGCTGGAGTCTATCCCAGCTGACTCAGGGCGAAGGCAGGGGACACCCTGGACAGGTCACCAGTCTATCACAGGGTTACACTTAGAGACAGACAACCAAGCACACTCACATTCACACCTACGGACAATTTAGAATCACCAATTAACCTCAACATGTCTTTGGACCGTGTGGGAGGAAGCCAGAGAACCCGGAGAGAACCCACGCTGCACGGGGAAAACATGCAAACTCCACGCAGAAAGATTCCGGTGCCCCCACCAGGACGCGAACCAACAACCTTCTAGCTGCGAGGCAACAGTGCTACCAACTGCACCACTTAAAAGAAAAACAAACAAAACAAAACAAAAACTAAACTAATTTTACAGCTTAGATTTAGCTACATTTTCCAGCCAAACATCATATGATTAGTTGAAGGACTGTCGCAGAAGTTGAAAATTTGAGGAATCGTCCTGACAGTTTTTATGTAAATATAACATGCTTTTCAAACACAAGGTCGAGTTTTGAGGTTGAGACTTGAAAACCAAACACATTACCATAGATCTACACTGCAAAATGGTCTTTACAAGTTCAATGCAAAGCAAGTGAGCACCGCTGAAATAAAATACGTACTTGAGGTCCTTGGTAGTGATGATGCATCTGCTCAATGTAAACACTAAGTGCTGGTAATGGACACAGGATAAAACCTCACTGACCTAATTTTCTGTAAGTTTTGCGAGCACGCAGAAGCAGTTTGAGATGCACTCGAGCTGAAGCGGAGGACATTTGTTCAGCAACAGTATATCTGAGTGTAGAGAAAGAGTTTTGAGGAGCAGATTTGCACCCAAGCAGAGGCTATTAGAGAAACAGGAACGGGAATTTTGTGCAAAAACATTGCAAAATCTAAAAGTAAAATGAAGAAATAATGCTCTGAAATTGAAGGATTGTGCTCGCGATGAAAGAAAGTTACTCCATAATTCAGAAATATCAGCAGATGGGCCAGCTTTTACACATAGCTTGACAATCCTCCAGCATCAGCCGGCTGAGGTTGTTCAGGACAGCCTTCCGAGACAGCGGGAGAGTTGCACTAACCGAGATGGCAGCAATGTTTTGAGTAACCAAATGAGATTCTTTCCAAAAAAAAGAAAAAAACTGCTCCGAGTCCAGCAATGTTTCTTTTTAGGCTTGAAATTTCAGCAGCTACTATAATTCTCTCCCGCTGATTAACACCCGTGCGTATCTGCTGATGACATATTTTGGTCATTTCCATCATTGTGTTTGTATTAACCTCGTGCGCTGGAAAGTCTTTGTGCACCTGTTGCCATAGAAACTGAGCAGAATGCTTTGAATATTATGGCCTTTTAAGGAGAACTGCTGCCATCTGTGATCTCCGAGCAGCAGGTTTGCCATGATATACAAGACTGCCGGCACAATCAGATCACAAACACACATAAATACTCATCATCACCCTTCGCAGAGCCCTATAAGGCAAACGCACTGCTGTGAAAGAGACAAACACCTGCACACGGCTTAATGTGTGCGTAGAATCTGCTCCACTGCAAGACTTTTCCATTAATATCTGAGTATGAATATGAATGTGTAACCTATACTCACATCTATATATATATATATATAGATGCCTGAACGGGATGATTTATTGCAACACACACATAGAGCACACAGAGAAGGACGCAGGTGAATCCACTCGACAGAAACTGATAAGCATCAATAAGAAGAGAAATGAAAGGAGTCTATATGAGAATCAAGCTGCTGTTATCAGCTGTATCAACGAAGAGAGACTGTAATAAAGAGTCAAACTGTCCAGCTGCTACTTACTTTTATAAACTTCAATATGAGGCGAGATGTAGTGCTGCTGTTTAAACACAACTCTAGTCTCTTCTGCAGCTACCTGTTATTTTTGCCTCTTCTCTTTTTTACAGGCCATTTACAGAAAAGCTCCGATTACTACACAACATTTGCCCTCTGATTCAAGCAGTCGGCTGCAAAGCGATGATATGGAAGATGAGTGTTCTTTGTTCTCCTGCTGGCTGCATCAGCGACGGGCTTTGGCTTTTTAAGCCTTAATTAATTGCCCATTGTAAATGCAAGGAACATTTGCCCTCTCCTCCCTGTGTGAATCTCCACTAAATCCTCTCATCGATTTCGTCATTTGTTAGATAAGATAATTCTGCTGCCTGATCCAGCGCACGAGCATAAAATGGAAAAAAAAAAGAAGCATAAAGTCAGGACTCTCACTCAATCCCCGATGCTCACGGTGCTTGATATTCATTCATGGAATAGTTACAGCCTATGTTGGAGGAAATGAAGCAGCGGATGAATAAGGAAAAGCAGCACAGAAAAAGTGGAAATAAGGACACATGCTGATCAGGTTTTAGCTTTATCAGGAAGGTTTGACATGAAGGTGGAAATAGTGAACTGAGCATTGGATTTTTATAGCAGGACTTCAGGAGCACAATGAGAACTTCACATGCAGTGGTGTTGTGGAGGCTGTAGGTCCACACAGTTATTAACACACTTAACTTGCTTTTTTTTTCCCCCCAAAAAACCCAAAAAACACAGAGACAGTTGTTGGAATTTCTAATGGTCCTTGCACTAATCATCTGTGATGTATTCCACATGTCTAATATGACAGTTATTCTAAAAACTAAACCTTTTTGCTGCCTTTTTGGTAACACCTGTGGATACCTGGAAAACATGTACATATAGCTTTTTTGTTCTAAGATATTTTTTTGGCCCTTTTGCACTTAAACAAGGTTAGTTTACAGGGGAGGGGAAGGACATGTAGCAGATCTTGTCAGGGGTCGAGAACTTCAGATCCTATTCATGCCTGCTCAACCAGTTGAGCTGCTGGGTGACCCCAGTTTATGGCACTTTAGTTGTGTCACACTGTGCAGAGGACAGTTTTTAGGCACCTCCACTTCTAGTCATGGCTGTACTGTTTCTATAGATGTACAGGACTTTATATTGCAGCGAAAAATGACCTCACAGGAAGCAAAAACGTGACAGCAGCAAATAAAAAAACGCACAGAAACTGCCTGGGTTTAACAGATTAATGGTGCAAAGCAGGTGTTTGTATCCAATGTACACCGTTTACAGTATATATGCTCAGATTATTCGTGTGCATGTGTGTACACTCTTAGCCCTCACACTCCACCACAATGGATTAGTAATGAATTTGTTCTGCAACATGATGGCAAGCCTCAGCTTATAGCTAGAGTCACATTTGGTGATGCGAGGAGTCCTGCAGTGGAGACCTAAACATGCTGGAGTCATTATGGGAGTTCATGAAGAGACAAAAGCTGATGAAGCAACCTAAAACCTAAATTCTCAGCAGAAACATGTTTTCCAAGGTGCTTGGACCAACCTTCTTCTGTTTATTGCCCTTTGTATGACGCTATTGATGAATAAAAACCCCTCTAGGTTGTTTTTGAAGCATTTCAGTCGCTTGCACAGCACAGTACAGTATATGTACACAATGATCTGTAGGCCGTGTGTGCATGTGTGTAGGAATTACTTACTGTTGTGCTCTTGCTCCTCCTCTACATTTCCCATGACCATAGCTGGGACACCAAAGGCAGAGGCCAACACCCACACACAGATATTCACCATCTGGAGTCACGACAACATGGCAGCGAGTTAGTATTCAGTGTTTTCCCACGGTGACACGGTAAGACGTACCATTTAATGACCTGTATGTATACAATCCAGCTATGTGAGAAACACAAGGATCTTATAAGGTTTGTCAAGAATCCTGTGAATGTTCAAATTTACTTATAACAATATATATCAGTATCCATTAATCTCCTGTTTTGTTTTTAGTTTTTTTCTGTTCTTACACAATGACAGCAAACACAAAGTCAGTTTAATGACTCTAATCACGAGATCAGACTCTGAAGTGAGCTGAAACAGTGATTAACGTCAGAATGGATGTCAGCGGTCATTGGAGTCAGAACAAAGCAGGTGTGAAGGTTGTTGAAAAGGTAAATATCTCACTTTGAAATGAATCAGTTTTACCTTGGCCTTGTGAGGAGTCCTCATGTCCAGCGCTTTGACAGGGTGGCAGACGGCCACGTACCTGTCCATGCTCATCACTGTCAGGGTAAAGGTGCTAGTGAACATGTTGTAGTAGTCGATAGACACCACCGTCTTGCACAGGGCGTTCCCAAATGGCCAGAAGCCCAGAAACACATCAGTGCCCTGGAAACATTCAGGAATCAAAGAATGAACACATAAAATGCAGCTCGGACCAGAACACTGGGTGCCGGTTACTCTGAAACATGACTTTATGCACATTCAAACCGACAAAACATGCTGTTTCAAAATAAGTGCTTTAAAGTGTTCTCTGTCATGTTAATGTACAGTACTGTTTGCATGGAGATTTAGAAATAGCAGAGTGATAGACACAGTAGCGTACCAGCGAATATACGACTCAGTGGAGTTGCATGATGAGCAGCAAAAAGCTTAAGTGATGATAACTTTTTAATACAAGTTATTAGAAAAATAAATCTGCCTTGTGTTAGTGTCTAAGGCCTCGTCCACACGTAGCAGGGTATCTCACAAAACGAAGATATTTTTCTACGATGTGTCCTGTCATCCACACGAAAACGCAGATTTACGGGATTAAAAACGATTCTTTCAAAAACCTCCGACCAAAGTGAAGATTTGCGAATTTCTGTTTATGCGTCTGCATGTGGACGTCAATAACCGGGTTTTTGTTTTCTAAACGTCACTGCCTGTGACAAATTGTGTTCTTTACATCACATGTAAGACCTGTGTTTACATTTGGAAACAGCGTGGACGCCCTCAGAACCGTGTTGTCTCTTGTCCAGGCCCAGATACCGCTCCACTTACAAGAACATAGGCGAAGGACGGCATTAAGAATGGTTGTTTTCCACCACCTTGCCATTCCACATCCGAGGCATGTTCTCCATCAAAGACACTGACGCCAGTTTTGGGTCAGACCACTGCCAGCTGGTGGGAGAACTTTGAGACGCAAATCGTGCTCCAGGAGGAATGGCGTGATAATGTCCGTATGTCATCGGAGTTATTACATCCTCACGTAGAATATGAATGTGCTTAAAAACACATTTACACGGTTAGGTGTGGATTCATTTTTTTCTAAAAACAAGGTGGTCTGTACGTGAGTTTTTTTCTCGACGGAGGGGGCAGGATATTCGGTTTTACAAAAACCCTGCTACATGTGGACGAGGCCTATAATTATCTAATAAGGGACCTATTCCTACCCAAATCATGACACGGGCCAAAACCAAAACACATAATTTTGTACCTAAGTTGAACCAAGCTTCTAACAAGCAGCTATTATTGTCAAAGTGTCAACCCAAGCTTGACGAAATGTAATTTAGTTTTAAACAGAAATGACTAAAAATAAAAATAAAACTTTCCTGTAATGGCGACAGAGACTGTAACAGGTCACATTATTGGGTTTTGCCAATAATAAATGTATTCCAGATAATGACAAAACGTTAACAAGAGCTGAAGTTTATTTTGCTGCTTCCAGCTTTTTGTCTTTCCTGTGAGTTCAGAGGGTCTATACGAGCATTTCCAAAGCGAGAGAGCGAGTCAAGCGTGTTTACCCAAAGCCACAACAGCGATGACCTCATTAATTACTTAAAATGAGAAATTACTCCCAACATAGAGACTTGATCGGTCAGAATCTAACGATAAATGACACCACAGGAAGGTGGGCTGTCACACACGGAGTCACAGTTTATCAGCTGCAGGTAAATCGTCTGTTGCATAGCAGTTGGGTGAAGTCCTGAGCTCCATCATAGCTGTCAGATGGATTACTGTTGGTAACATAGCAGTTGGATATCATCACATATGGACAGAAGTTTCATTATTTTGGAAATCAGAACCAAACTCGGCTGTATTAGTGCATTATTATGTGTCACTTTATGCACCATCCAGTCTTGTGTGAGTTAGGTTGTCAGGAATAGTGACGTAAAAGTGGCCTATGTCTGCCGTCACTTTACAAGACTGATGATTGTAGCCCATGTATTAAAAAGTCAAGAGAAATATTTTAAATGCTTTGTGCAGATGACTGATGATGATATCATACCTGAAAAGGCAAAGTAGCCAGGAACAGAGAGTCAGCCAGCGCCAGGTTAAAGATGTAGATGTTGGTGGCTGTTTTCATCTTGGTGTACCTGAGGAGAGAGGAAGCACACAAGCACACAGATTCAGTTAAATGAAAAATCAGAAAATAGCAGCACACCACATGCACCTGTAACACCTTAATCGAGGGTTTGCAGCCTGGTAAAGATTCGATCCAGTCTGGAGAGTGAATAGCAAACACAAGACGCCGCTTGGCTACTCACAGTGAGCGTCTTTGTGCTGCTGTTAAAACTGCCGGTTACAACAAGACTTGCTGGTTGCTTTTATCTAGAATACCTTTCATTAACAGGAGAGGGGGCATTGATAACGTCTGTGGCCACAGTGGGAACTGCACACATGACTGAACCCAGTCAAACAGCACTTTATTTACACTCTAAGCAGCAATTCAAGGAACCATCACGTCATCAAATGCATGTTTGCAAGATGAAACAAACATCGAATTTACTCATGTAGATAAACTATTTAAAGAACACGTTGTCTTGATCAGTCGGGTTGACATAATAATGTTTGTAATTGCATCAGCTGAATATCGAGGGTGTATTTAAATTCACATTTTGGCTTTAGTGAATCTAAAACTAGATTCAAATTGAGGTCAATTTAGGAAACTGGCTTGAGAACTTCATTTTTCTTTACTTTAGGCTTCAGGATGTCAAGTTCCCTCCTCTGTCTTAACGTGCCTGCACAATTTCAGACAGTTAAAAAGGCAAATACCTTTGATTGTAGAGGAAAAACAAATTCCTTGTAGCTTGTTACACTAACATAACATCATTACAAGTTTTCATGACTTAAGAAGGTTGATGCAAACTGCTGCATTTATGTATATTTATTTATTTTTTGTTATTATTCTTTATCGTGCAGATGAAGACCAGTGTTGGTCTCACATGAAGGTGGTGACCTTAAATCTCTATCTCTAAGTTCTAAACAGAATGGAACGCATTTATTTTCACATAATGTTCTCCATGTGAACAAACACCACAACAGGGAGACCATAGTCAGAAGTGTTATTGACCGAGCTCCACCTAAAGAGCTTATTGTCCCATATTATCCCAAAAGAACATTTTGCTCTCAGACTGCGGTTTCACTTGTGGTCCCCACAGTTTCCACAGAGCCTCCAGTTGTCAGGTTCCTCTGTTGCGGAACCAGTTCCCAATTTGGGTTCTGGAGGTGGGCACTCTCCTTTTTTTTTTTTTTTTATATTTCAGTTAAATCTTTTCCTTTTTGATAAAAGATGACCCTGAACCATCCAGTGGTTATGCTGCTGGAGGACTTCCCATGATGCCCGGACCACGTCTTCTTGTCTCTCCTCTCTTTCACTCTCAGTGCATTTATTTGCCACCTTTGCTCATCATTTACTGTCTTCTCTCCCCTGTTGGTTGTGTTTTGCCCTCTCTACAGGTATCTCTGGACGCAGAGCTGCAACGATTTACAGTGCGGCTGTTGTTCTCTTGTAGGTTTGTTTCTCTTTGTTTTTTTTTATTGTTTCTTTTCTCTCACCCTAGTCTGACTCACTGGATGTAGTTTGCAGGTATAAGTCCACTATTGGCTACACGTTTTACGCAGCATTATCTTTCCATCCTGCTGTCTAAATGTTAATGATTTCAAAATCCCACTATGGAAAACAACAACCACCTGCAGACTAGCAGCCTACCACGCTGAACATTTTCCAGTAAGGCAGCCCTGCTCGCTCTTTTTCGGTGAAGCTTCCATACTAATGGCTGTATGCATGTCAACCTTCTACCCAAATTATTTCTGTATCTCTATTTTAAGCGAACATCGTTGCTGCGTGTTGGGTTTGGATGCACCCAACCCATTCTGTATCAGCACTGGAGGACGGTCTGGCTATGCGAGACCACCCTCACCCCAACAGGTTGAGGCAGGTGACCATCCTTCCTGAGCCTGCTGGAGATTTCTTCCTGTTAAAGGTCTTGTTTTTGGTTTTTGAGTTACTCAAAGGAAATCATATGAAATTGTTGAGTTCATCTATTACTTCACATTGTAAAATCTTAACCTTACTGTTAAGACTTGACATTCAGAGCATCTCAGGATACAAACTGTTGGAAAACAGACTCATGAGTTACAAATTCTTTAAGAAGAAACGAGCAGAAAGGTCGTCAGGGCATTAGCATCAAAAAGGGTTCATCTTATGGGAGGATGAATGTTGTTTCTTTACTGCCAATAGGCCAAAAAAAGCTGTCAAGGATGGTCTTGGATGTTAAACACCCCCTTTGCTGGGCATTTGTTGCTCTCGTCTTTATCTGAGTTTCCCCCTGCAGTGGTTCTGGCATGTGCTCGGCACCAGCAGTCTGACGTAACCCTGCGGTTTTTGCATCACCACTTTGTTTTGGTTGCTTCTGTTTTGTTTCTGTCAGGTTTAGTTCTGGGTGATCTGTAGGTGGACTGGAGGGAGCGCTCCAGGGCTGCTGCTTCTCTTTCTGCTCTGCGGATTCCCCTTTATTTTTATATTTCATCTTGCTGGTCTTTCTCAACTTTTTCTTTTCTTTTAGTTTCTTTTTTTTTTGGTCAATACTTTATGCTTTGATTGTTTTAGGATCGCTCACACGTCCAACACAAATCATAAAAGTGTTTACTTTTTTTTGCCTTCTGGGGGAAGAATGAGACCGTTTGAGGTCAAAACACTGAAAACTGTCCAGATGTATGTTCTGGAGCCCACATTTACAGACTGTTAAATATAATGATGGAAAAAAGAAGTTAAGGGCCATATTTTTGAGTGGCTGCTCTTGTAACTCTGCAGATTTCTGCCTCTTTGACTTGACAACAAACTGAAGGTTTTTTTCTGCTCCGGCTGCCCTGAATAAAACTTTACAAAAAAACGCATTGCAGTCAAATGTTTCCCCCCTTCCCCCTCTCCTCTCTCCTCTCTGCCCATTATTCAGTTTGGCCTCAGGCTCTTTTGCACTCCGTCTTTTCTCCTCAACACATCCCCTCCTTTCTAACGCCGTTCCTCTCCGTCTCCTCCTCTGCCTCCTCTTTCCTCTTCATGTCCTTTCATTTTCCTCCCCCCTTCCTTCATCTCCGATTTTAGATGGTGTTCACCATACTCAACGCCCTTCTCCTTTTTTTTTTCTTTTAAAGATCTCTCACTCATCTATTCCTTTGCATCCCACCATCTGTGTCTTTCAGTCTTTTATCCTTTTCATGCCTTTCATTACCTTTTTTTTTTCTGACTTTCAGTTCTATGTATCTGGTCAATTTCTTTTCCTCTTCACTTCAATGCCCTCAGCTCTTTCTCATTCCTCTGCTTTTATCTATATTGTATCTGCAGGTTCCGGGAGAAGAATCTGAGATGTTCATGTTAAATTTAGGCCTTAATGGTCAGAACAAAGAGACGCAGAATACTAAAGAAGGAGGCAGCTTTGGCAAAAGGACAAAAGGAAACGAGGTGTTGATGAACATTTGATTGTTCGGCTGGTGACTGAAAGTTCTCGTCCGGATAAATCTAAATCTATGTTGATCTGTAGGTACGTTCAGAGCCTAAACCGAGCAAAGCAGGTCATTTGTGAAATATTTAATCACATTGACAGTGTTTATTGCTTTCCAGTTACGCAGCTGAAAGCAGAGCCTGTTTAGGCCCCAAGAACTCCAGGGATCTGGGCCGGTGCCAGTCGGCTTGTTCAGTTAATCTTCCATAATGATTTGTGAGTACTGTCTACGCAATGGGGTGGAAAAAAAATGTACCTACCCTTCAAATGAATAATCTGCCTCAATATGTTACTTTTAATGGGGAGTATCTGCCAGCCAGTGCCGACTTTCCACCTGCGTTTGGATCTTTTTCAAACGCTTTTCCTCAAGAAGTCAAAAATTCCTACGGCTTGCCAGATACTTTGTCTCCTCGTGTCTTTATCAGCACTTTCCTGTCTTCCTGCTTGTGTCCTCTCATTCACTTTCACCTTTTAACCCTCCGAACTGCAAGTAGTTTCTGTGCATTTTGAGGTTTTTTTTTTGGTGCTCCCGTCACATTTTCACTTCCTGTGGCGTAATTTTATTCATTAGCAGTATAAAAGTC